CAGAGGTTGGTCAAAATAAGAGACAATGAGCAAGGAGCTGGTAGAAGAGGAGAAAGCAGAAGCACCTTTGCTGAAGCTTGGACAAAAAAAAAAAACAAAAACCAAACAAACAACAACCCCCCCCCAAAACAACAAAAAACCACATGAAAAGACTAGTAAAGAGGTGTAAAGGCAGGAACTCTGCTGCAGATAATTAGCATGATCCGCATGGTGGTACATGGAAGAGATCCATACAAATAGCAGTCAAATAAAAAGGTAAGTTAAAAAGGAGTTAATTTAAAATGCATAAAATTAAAGGAGCATTGTATAAACTACTAATTAGTTAAATGAGCAATTAAAGAGTGTCAAGCAAGGTCAATGAAATACAGAAGTGCAAAAGATACCAACTGAAGTTTCAATAGCCTCTATGGAGATTTTATCAAGGCAATTTCTGAAAGCCCTGATAAATCTTCCCAGTATTCCCCTCCCCTCCCCCCACACACCATTTTATTAACATAAAAAAAGAAAGAAAGGAAAAAAAAAAAGCAGGCAGCCTGCCCTTGCATTGCACATAAATCCAGGGGGCACATGCCCCCCCATGCCTTCCCCAGGGTGCATGCAGTGGCAGTAGCCACTCCTCCCCCCTCACAAGCCACCCATGACTCCATCTCATGCCCTGGCTGGGCAGTACTTGTCCCTAACCTATTCCCTATGTCACCGTGGGGGTCTTGATCTATGCCCCTTCCCCCACACCCCCCGAGCCTTACCAGCCAGATGCTGCTCTCCAAGCTGCCAGGCTGCGCTCCTGGCTGCGTGCATGCTGCGGCTGCGCCATGTACACAGCATTTAAATTGGTGACATTATTGGCTACACTGGCCAAAAAAAGCCGATTGCTGGTAATATCAATTTTCCTTTTATTGGTGCCGATCCAATATGGACCGAGATCAGTGAACCTCTAATGATAACTGATCTGTAAAACCCAGTATTGCACCTAATGCTTTCTTTAAAAATGTATATATATTATATAAACCGCCCCCCCCCCAAGAACTGTCCTTTGCTGTTCCAGTAAAAGCGACCAATTTTAACAGGATTATATAAAAAAAAAAATCACTAAGTTACACATATTCATTTTGAAGCTCCTTCAAAAAAACCCCCCAAAAACAAAACAAAAAAAACAAACAAACAAAAAAGAAAGAAAACAAACTCTTGGATGAATAGCATCTGAATCTGTTGGAGTTGCAGCCCTTTAAATTATCAAATGGATACGCAAAACAATACCTAATCATTATTACCAATAACCATAAAATTATAGCAAGTCTTTCCTCCTTTAACATCTTCTATAGCGAAGACCACTCCAGAAGTCATTTAACTTTTTTTGCAGTGCTCTAATCCTCCTCATTTGCTCCCAGGCTAGGGATAAAAATTCTTATCACAGAACCACAGGCAGCTAAGACCTCAGATATGGTTGTCTGATATGAAAGAGTAGTGTGTCTCATTTTGGGCTGCAGTCTCACACGCAGAATTAAAAATACAATTATTTATGACTGCGCACAAACAGCTCATCACACTCTGTTCATTTTGAACCACTGTGCTGGAGCTCCTTACTCTGTACATCTAATTTTTCTTGATTTAAATTTCTGTCTCTAGGTAAATGAACCACCATAGCTCCATTCTGAATTCTTGCATTAGTAAGCCATATGTAAAATATGCATTTAGTTTTGAAATCTCAGTCTGATCACTAGTAGCACTAGTTAGTTGGTCCTCCACTAACACCGTAGGCTGTCATATCGGACTAATTTCATTTGTTGTGGACAATTCACATTTTTCCACAGCAGCTCTACAGGACAAGTATATATCCTCTGAAAAAAAAAATCCTGAAAGTGAGAAGGCTTTAAAATGTTCATGTGTAGTCATTTGTTGCGACTTTGATATTTAGGACAATTTTGCAGATAACCATTGATAGAGGCTTACAAAAAAATTCAAATTTTTTTCAATACTAAACTAACAAGTATTTTGTTTGTAGAATCATAGAAAAATGTTTAAGTGCAAGTTGCTTAAGACTATTTTTTGTACCACATGCTTTAAATATTATTTCATTGAGCCAAATACCATCTTCTGGCAATCTGGCCTTTTTGCTTAAAAACATAAAACCCAATTGGCGATCATAGAAAATGAGGATTGGAAGGGACCACAAGAGGCCATCTAGTCCAACCCCCGCTCAAGACAGAACCATCCCCAACTGGATCATCCCAGCCAAGGCTTTGTCTAGCCAGGTCTTAAAAACCTTCAAGAATGGAGAGTCCACAACCTCTCTGGGTAACCAATTCCAGTGTTTTACTACCCTCCTGGTGAGAAAGTTCTTCCTAACACCTAATCTAAACTTCCCTTGCTGCAACTTGAGATCATTGCTTCTTGTTCCATCATCTGCTACCATGGGAAACAGAGTCTCACTCCATCATCTTTGGAACCCCGCTTCAGGTAGTTGCAGGTTGCTATCAAATC